AATGAATGAATGAATGAACTTTATTTTCGTGTCGTGCGCATACCACGCCCAGCCCGTGTGGGCTTATACGACACCGTTTGAGAATAAATAATACATAAACAACAGAGAAACAGAGGTACAGAATCCAAACAAAAAAGTGAACACAAATAAAGTTAGGCTATATACAATTTAAGCAGAACAGAGTGAACTCATAACAGATCATAAATGCAAATCTGTACATAAACTTGATAAAGAACCAAGATTTCACAAAATAAATACAAGTACATAAGGTAAATCAAATATAAATAAGAGAAAACAAATGTGTAGAAGTAACAAAAGGTGAGAACTGTTGATGTGTTATGAATACAGGTATTTTCTTCTTTTCCCCCACGCTCGATAAATGAAAGTTGCTAGGTCAGATACACCCTCGTTAAAGAGCCACTTAATTCTATTTTCATCTCTTTCCCATATGATGTCAGGTGATTTTGTATAAATTTTACGAAACATATTTTCTCGAAGATCGTCATAAAAGGGACAGTAAAAAAGAAAATGTGTTTCGTTTTCTACTTCATCCAGGTCACACATGGTACACATTCTACTTTCCTCAGGAATTCCCTGGTACCGTCCAGTTTCAATATTGATAGGTAAAATACCAGCTCGCAGCTGCGCACACAATGATCTTTGGCGTTTGGGGAGACACATAGTTACATATTTTTCTATACAGTAAGTATCTTTAAACAGAGCATATGTTCTAAGTTTAGGTTTCAAAAGTACTTTGGTTGCCCAGTCTTGCTTGTATAAGTCAAAAAGCTTCCCTTTAATTTGCCTAAAGTCACCCCTCAATGTGTTAAGATAAACATGTTCTTGCTCAACTTTACAGAATATATCCTGGACATTTCTACTCCAGGGGCCATGGTTTTGAAAGTCCCATAAGAATACTTGTTTTGTAATTCTATCATTCTATCACCATCTGTACTTGGTGACAGCGAGTTCCACTCTGCGATAGTTATAGGAAAGAATGAGTTTTTTGAACACCTCAATCCTTGGCTGATAACTCTGGTACTTGGTTGGGAGGGCAGACCACAGAAAGCGTGCTATTTATATAGTGAGTGCATACGTTCTTAAGCCATAACTCTGAGGACCAGTTTTGTTCACATATGTATTTCTACATATCACTCTTTTTTTTTTGCTCTGTGTGACAATTATTACATTATAGTACAGAAGTTAAGGCTGCTATTGGTATTGCATGATAGTTTTTTTTACATGATAGTGCAAGCAAAAACATTATGTAAAGGCAACATTTTAAAACAAAAAACTTCAGAAGTGACGATTACTATTTCAAAATATAGAGGATTTGTAATTTCTATATTCGACAGAGTCAGCGCATAAAATCAAAGAACCCACATATTATAGAAGAAGTGGGTAAATTCGTCTTCCATTGCCTAAAAAGAAGAAGTCAAACCCATTAAAACTATAGCTAGTACCATGTATGTTGTAGAATATAGTATAATGTTACGGCAGTCTCACATACCACTGTATTTTCTTTCTTATATTGTTTGTAACTGCAATTAGCCCTCGGGCATGTATTTGCAATAAACTTATGTAATGTATAATGTAATTTGCTTTGATACTAGATCTCCAAAATTATAATTATAATTAGATTGCCCATGCATACTTAACCAAATATCATTAAGATCCATTCACAAAGTTTAGAGTTATCCTGCATACATGCAATCGAAAATGCACAAAAAGCCCGCTAAAACACGATTAAAAATGATGCATCAATTCTTAACTTGAACTACATTTTTACAACAGCTACTTACATGTACATGCCAAAAATAAACAAAATCCGCCCACAAATAATCGAGTTCTGACGTTTATACGGTGACACTCCACAGCTGCTCCACAAAAATCTACCGATTCCATATCTTTCTAACGAAAGCAATAAGATTGTCCATGGATACTTTACGAAAAACACTGAGTCTCCATTTTCTTATTTGGATAATTATTAGCAAGGTCAATAACATTAACTGTTCTTACACACTGTGAATTGCAGCAAACATTTTTGGGGACGGCGAAATATTTCTTACAAAATAAGGCATGAGAGGCTCTTTACACTGAACATTTAGTTGAACTTATATTTCCCTATAAGCAAAAATAGAAATTATAAGCAAGCAACCAAACTACAAGTTTGGCAAGTACGTGAGCTATTAATACTGAACACAGCTTTAACTTTCTCTCGCGAATGTAACTTATAAAATTCAAGTTATTCTTTTGGTGTCCGATAGGTACTATGTCATATTAAAGGACAGGGTACTACAAAGTTCCTTTATGTAGAGCATTTTATAACAGTGTAAGTCATCAGTGCATCTGCGTTCTTCACAGATGTTCATTTTGGAAACGAAAATTTAATTTGTAGGATGAAATATTTGTAGGAGTTTTGCATTAAAATGATATTACAAGTGCAGAGTCTTTAAAAGAGAATGGTCTGTACCTCATTGAACTTCCAATTTAATGAATGCATGACTTTATATACCAGCTGTAGGTTTCAGCGCCCATGTGAAAGAAGGCAGCTAGCACTTCGTTATGTGGTAAATTCCCCACTTTTAGAGATTACATATTAGGTTGAGACTGATCCTGTCCTGTCTGATCATGACCACTAGGCATTTCTGTTGACGCTTCATCCCTCGTTTGCATTTTCACATCTACATACATAGGGGTTGGCTGTAAGACAGCTAGCACTTCGTTATATGATAAATTCCCCACTTTCAGAGATTGAATAAAAATAAGCATGAGACTGACCCTGCTGCCTGATCATGGCTCCTTCTTTTTTTGTACATCTAGGTACATATAGTATTTGGCTGTAAGGCAGCTAGCACTTCGTTATGTGATAAATCCCCCACTTTTAGAGATTACATGTACATATTAGCTTGAGACTGATCCTGTCCTGTCTGATCATGACCACTAGCCATTTCTGTTGACGCTTCATCCCTTGTTTGCATTTTCACATCTACATACATAGGGTTTGGCTGTAAGGCAGCTAGCACTTCGTTACGTGACAGATTTGCAACTGTCAGAGATTCAGTGTTAGCCTGACACTGGCCCTGTATATTACCATGACCCCTGGTCATTACTGTAGCTGTGGTGTTTGTGTTGGATGCAGTGATGGCCTGAGACTGACCCTGCCCTGTCTGATCATGACCACTGGCCATTACAGTAGCTGTGGTGTTTGTGTTGGATGCAGTGTTGGCCTGAGACTGACCCTGTCGTGTCTTAACACCTGGATTGTCAATATCTTCATACTGGTGATCATCACCAGTGGTCATTACAGTAGCTGTGGTGCTTGTGTTGGATTCAGTGATGGCCTGAGACTGACCCTGCCCTGTCTGATCATGACTACAGGCCACTTTTGAATATAAATACATCGGGTTTGGATTTAAGGCAGCTATTATTTGGCCATGAGATAGATTTTCAACTTTTCGAGACTGACTGTTAGCCTTAAATTGACCATGTCCTGTCTGATCATGACCACTGGCCATTACAGTAGCTGTGGTGTTTGTGTTGGATGCAGTGTTGGCTTGAGACTGACCCTGCCCTGTCTTAACACCTGGATTGTCAATATCTTCATACTGGTGATGATCACCAGTGTATTGTCCTGTCTGATCATCACCAGTGGTCATTATAGTAGCTGTGGTGTTTGTGTTGGATTCAGTGATGGCCTGAGACTGACCCTGCCCTGTTTGGTCATGATTATTGGTAGATTTTGGGTCGTTTGGTGGTGTACCTGCGTACATGGCATTTGGTTTTAAGGCAGCTACCACTTTAGATAGACTTGCAACTTCCAGAGACTGAATGCTAGCCTGGGACTGGCCCTGCCCTGTCTGATCACGATTGCTGTCAATATCCTCATATTGGTGATCATCACCACTCCTTATTACAGTAGCTGTGGTGTTTGTGTTGGATGCAGCGATGACTTGGGACTGACCCTGTCCTGTCTGATCATTACCGCTGGCCATTACAGTAGCTGTGGTGTTTTTGTTGGATGCAGTGATGACCTGGGACTGACCCTGCCCTGTCTGATCATGACCACTGGTTATTACAGTGGCTGTGGTGTTTGTGTTACCACCAACAACATTGGGATTTGGCCCTAAAGGAGGCTGCCTGGTCTTCATCTTGTACCACACTGTAAGAATGATACTGCCAATCAGTAGAATTCCAGCTAGTGGACCACAGAATGAGCCTATGAGAACGGGTAGGGGGGCACTGGGAGCAGATTCTGGTTTGTTTGAAGTGATCGCAAGGGATGGAGTTGGTGTTGCTCTTGTTTTGCCTGCCTTGTTTTCTGCAGGATTTGCCGTTGAGCCAGCATTGCGTGTAAAGAACCAGTGATAGTGAGAGGTCACGGTTACATTGTGCATTTTGGCAGTTTCTGATAGGTTAGAAAGGTGCTGTGTTGCAGATGTCGAGCCTACAGGATATGTCGATGGGCTAGTTTTGATTTTCGTGTTACCAACTGTGGATGAGGTTTGTATATCAACAGTTGGTGTGGGAGATGTCGAGACTACAGGATATGTCAATGGTCTAGTATTGCCTTTCGTGTTGCCAACTGTGGATGAGGTATGGATATTAACAGTTGGTGTTGACACGGTTTGCTCTTTACAAATATCTTTAACATCAATATACATTAGTCTTTTCCCATAAAGTTTGAAGGGTCGGTGACACTTTATCTTGCTGTTCCTTCCGAGTAAAGGAAATTTCGTGAAAGGAGCCATTTGACAGTCACAATGAATAGGGTTATACTGAAGTTTAATGGCACGAATGTCTGGCATGAAGGTAAAAGCTGCAGGGGGAATGGTAGACAACTTGTTATACTGGAGGTCCAAACTTCTGAGCTTGGGCAGGTTTTCAAATGTACGAGACGGAATTGTCCTTATATTGTTCATGCACAGGTCCAACTCTATCAGTCGGGGTAGATGTGCAAATTCAACCAAGTGTATCTTGTTGTGGTACAGACACAATTTTTCTAGTTGGGGTAAATTACGGAATGTATGAGGCTGAATCGTTGTTATCTGGTTTTTATACAGGAGCAACTCTTCTAGTTTGGGTAGATTTTGAAATGTCCCTGCTTTAATCATTGTTATCTTGATGCTTGAATAAAGGTATAAGATTTGTAGACTGGGTAGAATTTGAAATGTTCCTGCCTGAATAACCTTTATCATGTTGTGGCTTAGTCTCAGGGTTGATAATTTTGGTAGATTTTTAAACACACCGGGCTGAAGCATTGTTATGTTGTTGCTGGACAGGCCTAACTCTTGTAGATTGGGAAGCTTTTGAAACGCACCTGCCTGGACCGATGTAATCCGGTTGTGTGACAGTGCTAAGTCTCGCAAACTTGGTAGATTTTGAAATGTTCCTGCCTGAATAATCTTTATCATGTTATAGTTTAGATTCAGGGATTCACATTCTGGCATATCTTTAAATATACCGGGATGAACCATCGTTATCTTGTTATATGAAAGGCCCAAAAACAACAAATGCCTGTGCCTTCGCGTTAAGGAAGGATTTACAGTGCTAATACGATTTTTATCCAACACCAAGCTTAAGATTGATGTTGGAAGGTTCTGAGGGATGCTGATGAGGCCCTTGTTGGAGCAGTGGCAATGTCTTCTTGGTTCACAGCTGCAGTCAGCTTCTGGCATGTTGGGCTCCTTCAGGATGATGAGAAGGAAAATCAGCACGTGTCGCAGCTTTCTGCCCATGGTTCTCTGTCACCTAGAAAGATTAGGAGGCACCTTTCTATCATGACACAAACTTTACATGTGGAATCTAGAATTAAAAGATAAATTAAAGATGAAAAAGGTTTTCTCTGTTCAGAAAGGAGACAAAATGAAGTCTGACTCAAATGGTCCTACCAACATTTTGTCTCTGTTTTCGCCTCTCACAAAATATGTCACAGTGGTTGTAAAATGGAAGACCGGGCAGATGTATAGCTTCTGATTGACTTTTCAAAACAGTAAGTTCGTATTCCGCTTTTTGCTGCTGTGCTTTTCACCATGTCGGGGATGGTTCCCGGTCCCAGACTCTCTCCCTCCAGTCCATTCTGGCCGTTTTTTCTGCACACTTAGTATACGTTTTTCTGCAGTTCTATTATAATATAGTGTTTAAAGTGCGCAAGGACGTTATATAATCATTGTATGCACTATAAATGTCCTTGGAGTGTGTAACAACCAGGCCTAAGTTCCGAGGGAGGAGGTTAGGAGGGCCTGCATGGTGAAAATATTTCGAACAGGGCAATATTTTATATAATATTGATACATACTGCTTCACATTAGCACATTTCCATCAGCATTTCATACTTCGGGTATTTAAAACAGCAAAAAAAGCCCTAGAGCAAAAGATAAGTCCTTTATTGTCTGTCACCTAGAAAGTCCTTCCGCTTCTTGTGACGCATAGGGCTGCGCCCATCTCCGTTTTCAATAGCCCTCGGCCACACAGCAGTGCAGTACAGTAAGGGGCTAGTCCACCGGTAGTTGCCTGGGTGGTCTCATAAAAATCAGCCAAGGACCCTTCCAGTAACCATTTTCCGTTAGATTTTCGGGTCTTTTTGCTCAATAAGGGTCAATATATAGTGGGAGAATGCGGTTTACATACTTTAAAGTATGTACTAGATAAGCGACTGAAATATTAACTTTAAAAAAATCGCGTTTCCAAGCCCTTAAAACTGCCTGGACACCAGTAAAGGACAGCCCGGCGACCGCCCGGCCACGTCCTAAAGTGCAGAAAAACAGCCCGCGGCGGGCTCATTTTAGCAATCTTGATTCTTTGCCCCATTTAGAAAATACTAGAATCTATCTCTGCCCTTTCGTGTATTTCTTTTGATAAGGAAGAGCAAGAAAATAAAGGTAAAAAACAAGTAATCGTTAGAATAACGTTCTAAAATATGGCGCTGTTAATTGTCTGTGACTTGCCGCTTGAATATTAATGTCGTTTACTCCTTCACCCACTCACTCACTCACTGGTGCCAATGATAGCTCTCCATCTCTTCCTATCCTTCATTTCTACCATCAGCTTTTTCCTGTCGAGCTGGGTGTCGTCCATTAATTGGTGAATATAGTTTCTTGCTGGACGACCTCGACTTCTTTTTCCATGTGAGGGCTCCCACAGTAAACTGGTTTATGATTTCATTCTCACTTCAGTAGCAGTGTCCGATATGAACTTCAACCTTCGTTTTCTTATTGTTCCGCTCACTGTGGGTAGGTTTTCGTATAGTACACCATTTGGTATCTTTTGGTACCAGTGTACATTTTTAACAATCCTAAGCATTTTGGTGTACTCCTTATTATTCCCAGTTTGCAGCACACTCAGGCAAGGGAATGAGCAGAAGAGTAAAGAATAGAACACTTTTCTTTAAAAGGATCTTTAGTTATACATCATGTTAGTTTCTGTCATATCATTAAAGCAGACCTTTAAATAAAGGACTGTTTTTCTTAGACCCCCTTAACAGTCACGTATTACCTTATGAATAATGTAAAAACGTACAAAATCTCAACGACACCACTGATACTGTTTTCAGAACAAACATAATCTCCAAGCAGATGTTAAGATGAAAGATTGTTAACGCTTTCTGAAGGCCAGGCTTCTTTGACGGCTATCTGCCAAGATTGTTGACAGTTCGAAAACGGCATTCTAACATCTGCTTGGTGAATGAACCTGATTGCCTGTGTATGTGCGTATGCCTAGCCTCCTTCGCAGACTTCGCAAAACTCCCTCGGCAGCAAAATCGTCCCTCCAAGGCATTATATAAAAAAAAATAACGCCGACGCCCAACACGTCTGCGAAGGAGGCTACGTATGGCTGGGACAACGTTTGAAAAGCTGTCTTCTCTGCAAATTTTAACATTTATTTCATTTCATTTTTATTTATTTACCCAGGGTAAAACGTGTCACCGCAAGGGCGTTGTTCAATGTTCCCTGCGGACATACATTTACAAAATATACTTAAGTAACAAACAAGAAAACAAAGATACAAAATAAATTATTTACAAAAAAAAACATATTGGTAAAAGTGCATAAAAATCATACGGCAAATTAATGACAAACAAATTTATGTTTTTTACGTGAAGTAGAAACGTACCTTTCAAGTGCGTCAGACTAGCTTCAGTTGGCACTTTCTTGGCAAAGTCGGGCGCAGCTTGTAACAGTTGTTGTTGTAGGGTGCGTCTGCCTCCTTCGGTAGCTGATCCGTAATGCCGTGTGTGACAAACTTACCGTAGGAGTTAATTGTCTGAAGCTGGCTATTTGAATAACATTTATATTTATGACCATGATTAAAATTCTAATGATGACGCAGGTCTCGAGATGCATGTTTACTTCTTTTCATACTAAGAATTTAATAAAAAAAACTAGGAACAGATTTCTAAAATTTGATTGAGAAAGACAAGCATATCAAATTCTGGCATAAATGTAAGATACAATGTAGATTTTTATATATTATACATCATGTATACATACCGACAATATTATGTTGTTTTTTTTTCATTTGCATAAACACCCGAGCGTGAGAGAGTGCCCTATGTAAGAGCGGCCTTGTTAGAATGTGTGTGGGTTGATCAAGGAGATCGCTCGTCGAATTCATTTTGAAAACAAGGCCACACCAATTTAATTTGTTGGTTCTCGGATTCGCCTCTTCCTTTTTTTTAATTTGCAAAAAAAAAGATTCTGGTTCTGAATAAACTAAAAATACTCATCTTTCCCCCAACAGTTGAGGAAAGTCCTTTTTCTCCTAGTTGCTACAGATTTTTCCATCTATCAATTCAGTGGTTTGAGTAAAAGTTCAAAATTCATTGTTTAAATACTAACCCAGCCTTTTGTGTTGATTTCATGGCTCCTATCTTAGCATTTGGGGCTATAATAGGATCACTAGACCTGTTTCTATTTTTATTTTTTTTCGCCCTGTCGCTTCATATTTCTTATTAAAAAATCAGAGAACCAACAAATTAAATTGGTGTGGCCTAAAATAAAAAAAATCTTAGTATATGCATGCATCTTGGTATGTGGTATTCGGTAAATTGGTCAAGCCTCTATACTATAGGTGGATTTCGGGCCATCCAGTGGCTTTTTTTGAATTATTAGAACAGCAAAAACATAAAAACATACAAGATGGCGTCGAACTCAAGTTCCATGAAACTTATATTAACGGCACCATCTACACAAACACGGTGACACAAAATGATTAAACAGAGATATACTGATTACATGGACAAATAAACAAATATACAAAATCAAAACAAGCTAATTGGGGTTTAGTAGATGAAATTCAACGAGCGCAAGTCCCAACCCCTATCCCTCAGAATCACTGATAGGACACGAGTAGAATAATTGAAGTCGAAAATATCAATCAGATACAAAACGACCACTTTTGATGATGAAATTCTGAGTAAAGCTCATAATTTTACAATTAGTCTCAAAACTGCATAAGGATGATCCGTAAAGTTAAAGATGTTCTACAGAATGACCAGACAGGGAATTTACGTCCAGTGAGCTGCAGCAGAATTTCCATTTTTTTATCTTTTCTCTTTGACATGGTATTGTCTTATCATGAAATTTCATCTGTGTTGGTAGTTACATGTTTAAAGTTAAAACGTTTGTTCCAACACAAAAAAGTTCTCTCACCTAGAGCTTTCGACCAGTCACCCTGGTCTTCCTCAGTAGACTGACCCAGTGAAGCTTGTCACGTGGCTTCTTTGAAGTGTGACGTCAACACTGGGTCAAAGGTATCTGGTAGACGTCACACTTCAAGGAAACTTCAAGGACAAGCTTCACTGGGTCAGTCTACTGAGGAATACCAGAGTGACTGGACGAAAGCTCTAGGTGAGAGAATTTCTTTTTGTGTTGGACCAAAATTTTTAACTTTTAGCATGGTATTGTCTTCTTTTCTTAGCTTTTTGACGTTTGTTCCTCTTTTTTAAACCCTACCCAGGTCCTTGGTTCTTTGGAGTGTGTTGGGCACCTTCCATGTTCGTCACTGGGGAAGTTCAAAATAAACTGGCTCACAGTGGTGTTGGGATCGTACAGAAGACACAACGCCAAGAGAAGATAAAATCTTGACCGTGCAAAGAAGAAAATCGACTCGTCTACCGTAAAACAGAAAACAATTGGAGTTTCACCCAGCTTTTCTCGGGCAAGGAACGAAACGACGTAGCCTGACGACATCCCGCTTCTAACATTCAGGCCCGATCAGGCATTGGAAGCTAGAGATTGTAAAACACAGGCTACACATCGCATATCCTAACTACATCACGCTTTTATACAGCCCTTCTGTAATCTCCAAGAAGATCTTTCGGTGGATGCAAAGACAGCATCAGATTGGCCAGGCAGTATCTATTTGCCAGACAGTTACCCTTTGCCACCCGAGGCTGGCGTAAAAAAAGATACCAGTACAAAAAAGAGCCCAATAAAAACTCCTCAAAGCAAGCCAAAAATAAAACGACGCCTGATCCTCAGCTTCGAGAGAGTAGCCTTTCCATTGCTGGTTAGGCCCAATCTGAAAGCGCCTTAGAGTGTATAACAAAGGCTACGAAACCACGCAGTTAGTGGAACAAAAGCACATCAAAAACACGTGAAGCATAGAGAAACTCGGCAAAACGGAACAGGAACACAGCACTGGCCCTTCGTGTTACTTTTGTTATCAAAAGTCAAACTCAATTGAAGCATGGAACGCAGCAGGGACATTCCATTTGTGATAAGTGTGATTTTCCTGAGCGGGCTTTCTGCCATTGATTTGCGATGCCCTTCATGCGACGTCCTTGATGACCTATTCTTCAGTGAAGATCGAACGATATATGTTTATACTCACAACTGTACGGGGTGTTCTAGTCAACAGCTTCAACATTGCATTAGCTATTGCGAAGTGACCACGACGACGTTGGATGCGCTCTTCGATCGCCAGGAATTCGGTGCGATAGTTATGGGTTGTGATCCAAATTGGGCGATGGACGCTCTACAAAACCGATTCATCGTAGCCGAAGAATTGAACGTCTGGAAGTGTCTCGATTCGAACTCCTCAGTTTCGTACTTGCGAAGCATCCGCGGTCTGAAAAAGCTCTCCCTCACCCTCCCCACATCAGTCGACAACATCGCGACTAACTTTTTCCCGGAGATGTCGGATCTAGTCGCGTTCCAGCTGACTGCACAAGCGCGTCTAACACTAGAGCCGAACGCGTTGAGTAGACTTTCAAAAGTACAAAACGTAACAGTCAGGTCTGAAAAGGACATAGTCGTCAAGCCAGGCGCGTTTCGTGGTCTGGCGGCGCTGCAAAACCTTACCTTGTTTACCGATGATGGACAGACCATCCAATTGCCGGAGCGGCCGTTCGAAGGTCTTCTCTCCATCGAAACTTTAACATTGCAAACTGGTGGCTGTAGGCAAGCGCCCGTTGTGTCGAATGTGACATTCCGCGACATAGCTCACACTATCCGAAACATTAGTCTTACCGGCGTTAACGTAACGGGCCGGGCATTTGCTGGTTGTGCGAATCTCCGTTCTGTCCAATGGGCTAGAGGGTACCGGTGCTACGGAGAGGCGAAAGTTGGTATTTCTCCTCAAGCATTTCAAGGAGCGACATCACTGGAGTCCGTTACACTTCACTCTATACGTCTACAAAACACCGGAGGAGGCATGTTCGAAGGTCTTCATAATGTAGTCAATCTGTCCATACAATTTGATACTGACGACGTCCGTAGCTATAGCCCTGAGATCAAATATCTTCCAAACGACATGTTCACTGGACTTTCATCTGTTCGTCGCATTTGGCTCGACGGAAACCCCGAACTGCCAGGGGACATATTCCAAGGGTTAGAGTCCCTGAGAGAGATCAGGATTGAGAACATGGTCGCTCGTGCCACAGAGAACAGCTCGGGAAAGTTCTGTTACACGGACTTCCAGCGCCTGTTCACAGGGCTGTCGTCTCTGGAAATTGTCCGACTCGAAAACAGCGAAGTCAGATGCGGGACGCTGCCGGTTTCCACATTCAGTAGCCTTCCGTCTCTGAAGGAAGTACATCTTTATAGAATCAGATCCTTAACGTATTTACCGACTGGATTTTTCCACGACGTTCCTCTCCTGCATACGTTCAAGTTTTCAAAAACGACAGATTCGTATTCTAAAACACTTACATTGCCGCCACTGTTTTTCGCAGGGCTCAATATTCAGGTGATAGACTTAAGCCAGCAATACTTCCATAACATCTCAGGCCACCTGTTTCGAAATCTTACTTCACTGCAGTCGCTGCACATGGTAGACTGTGTATTCGAGGAAGAGACTGCCTCTGCCGTAGATACGTTATTCTCGGGGCTCACGTCGCTGCAACATTTGGATCTCAGTTTGGAGAAAAATTTTAGAGACGAATCTCGCTATACACACATTCAGTTGCAGAACAACATGTTCAAAGACCTCGCGTCCCTCAAAACACTGAAGATGACTGGCTGGTTTTCTCAGCGAAGACTTTCACTTCCTCCTAAGATATTCGCAGGCTTGCGTTCCTTACAGGTATTAGATCTTCAAGATCTTGGATGGTCTGCTTCTGTCAAGAACATCGTGAACTTGCCAGGAAACTTATTCGAAGATTTAGATCGTTTGGAATACTTGAATCTTGCAAACGCTGCACTGGACAGTTTGGATAAAGACACATTTAATGGCCTAACAAACCTCCGGAAGTTGTATCTTAATGGGACATTGCTGACTCAACAGGGATTGTCGACCTTGCCTTTCGCTAATCTCAAACGGTTAGAGACATTATCATTGACAAAGTTGCCCCAGCTGGCTGATCTAGTTCCCAATCTGTTCGTAGGTGCAGAGAGTCTTTCCATGATTGATCTGACAGGCTGTGATTTAACAGCTATCCAATCGGGAACCTTCCGCCACCTGAAAAATCTCACATTACTGAAAATGCGACAACCGAGAACCATTGAGAAAGGAGCGTTCGACTTCGAGAATCAAAGGGGCGTCCGTATTGATTTGTTGTTTCCGTTCGATTTCTCGCCGTACTCATTTCCCGATGACTTCGCCAAACTCTTCAGCAACAGGACCTTGATGGAAAACTCTTCTATCCAAATAAACTTCAACTTTGTTCCATACTTTGACTGTGACTGTAGGATGGCGTCCTTGTCTGTGTCCTATTGGAGGGACCCAACCTTAACCGGACGAATCATGCCGAAAGCTGCTTGCTTGTTTGTTCTATCTAGACAGGGCAGCCCATCTTGGTGTCATAGTACTGTTGATGTGGGCTATGAAATAATTGACAGAACAACCTGCACCTTAAACAATGCCAACGAAGTTGCGGTTGTTGTTAACAACGTTTCTAACAATGTCCTACGGTGTCCCGTTGCCTCCCCGCCTTGTCCGGAGCGATGTTACTGTAGAACAAGCACGTTTGTCGCCGAGGTGTTCTGCACCGGACGCGGGCTTACTGCCGTGCCGGACCGATATCCGGCTGACACCGCCCTGGCGAGACTCGACGTAAACTCCATACAATACGTCCCGTCTTTCGCGTTCGGAAACGCGCCAAATCTTCTCATACTAAACCTGAGCACAAACGCCATTCGAGAGGTCAATGGCTCCGCGTTTCTTGGACTGCGCCGTCTCGCGGTGTTGTACTTGGACGGGAACGACTTGTCCCACGTTCCGGCGGATCTCCTGAAACCCCTTGCGAGCCTCCGGGTCCTGTGGTTGAGCGACAACAACCTGTTAGATCTACCAGGGACGATCTTTCACCAGTTACAACAACCGACCTTCCTTCGCGTCTTAAGACTTGACCACAACAATCTGACGACGTTGTCGGCGGGGATTTTTACCAACCGAACTTCGTTGACGAAATTGTCCCTGGATAACAACAAATTCGACTGCGACTGCCACTTACTCTGGCTAAAAGCGTGGATGCTCCAACGTAGAAGCGTCGTGGACCAGATAGAATCCGTGACGTGCCGATCGCGTGGAAACGCAGAGGACAAGTACGTCCTCAAGCCGATCATACAGCTTCCGGACGACGCGTTTGTCTGCGGTGACGACGAGAACGCGCCGTACAACCCCCTAGTAGCCTGGGTGGCAGCTCCGGGCGGGCTGGCAATCCTGCTGATCCTGGTCGCGGGAGCTTTCAAGTGCAGGAAGAACGTCCGCGTGTGGGTGTACGCCAGGTACCGCAGGGGCCTGAGGCATCTGGAGCAGGAGCCGGAGAAAACGTACGACTTTTACGGTGTCGTACTGCGTGGAGGATGAGGAGTTCGTGGACAGGGGAGGTGGTGACGGTCCTGGAGGACATGGACCCACCATATAAGGTATGGTATAACATGGAAGACATAGACATGGACCCACCATATAAGGTATGCTGTAACAGTGACCATATAAGGTATGATATGACGACGTGGAAGACATGGACCATCCATACAAGGTATAGTTTAATATGAAGGACATTGACCCACCATAATAAGGTATGGTAAACGGTATGGTAAAACGGCGACCACATAAGGTAAGGAGCGCGAACGGTAACCATATAAGGTATGATAGAACGGTGTCTGTTGCGTTTTGACCTCATTATCAAAACTATGACTGAACTGAAACAAGAAACAAGGTGATTCTGAGCGTGGCATCTTTTGTGAAAGCATTAATAAACTACCCTAAACCATGAAATTCCATAAACATTGTATTTATATCTATGAATATTTGCAAGTTGCACCTGTAGATTAAAGAAGAACAAAACCACATTCATGTAACAACATCAATGATACGTCGTGAGGGGCATGAATGATGTTATCATTCCCCTTAGGTCTGTCTACGGAATCGCGACTTCATCCCCGGGCAGAACAACATCCAGCAGGCTACAGACTCCATCACCAACAGCCGCAGAACTCTCCTGGTGCTCACCGAGCGGTTCCTACAGGACAGGTGGTGTCTGTGGGAGTTCCAGGTGTGTGTTTTGTTGATTTCAAGACAGGTCTGTCGAATTGTTTTTAAGGGAATAGACTACAGTGAAGTTACTCATTATGATTAATATTTTATACCATGATGGCACAGTACAAATTCCTGGCAATCTCATACCACATACAACCACTGTCAATCAAATGAAACCCAAATATGCGCTAAGGACGAGATACATAGAAACTAACACTAAACCAATGCCGCCCAAAACAATACTTCCGATCATGGCTATGTGTGTCGACGTCAATGACAATTATGTCTTGATGTTTAGTAGTTAGGGTGTTAAATTTTCATTCTATACCCTTTTCATTTGGTACTTTGTTCAGTAGTCGCTGCCATACGTTGTACCTTGTACAATTGTCGTGCAATAAAGTTCTTCATTTAATTTATTTCCAATATTCCTTCTCCTAAAGGTGGCTCATCAACACGCCGTGACCGACCAGGCGTACCGCCTCATCATCATCATCATGGACGACCTACAGCTGGAGGCGTGTGACGACATCCCGGACTTAAAGCAGTATCTGACGGCAAACAGGTAAGGGTTTTTTTGTTGTGCAAACGTCGTGGAAGACGAAATGAAATAAACTTTATCTCAAACTGTTCGTTTCACAACAACAACGCACGAAATGAGTTGTCTATTCAAACCTCTACAATTTATCCCAATTAACTTACCGACAAAGAAAAAATTCTTATGTTTAGTACCCAAACTTACAAATTTTGCAAATGGTTTACAAAGGAGAAGGCAATCCCTTCAGACATAGATCCTGACAATTGCATTTTATTAGGTAGATTTTATAGATATTTTGTACCTTGTTTCAATGTTCTTTTGCGGAAGTATGTCCGTCCAAGTAATAACGGTTGCGTGGAGGGTGGGAGGTGATTTTGACAGTAGATTCATAGATAGGTTGAGGGCAGAGGGTGACCCAGCATGTGCCCCGTTACAGTTCCAATCTCATTCCAAGGCATTTTTCACTCCTGCGGAGGAACCGCTCCCTTGACTGACTCCAGTCTTGTCTAGCAGTTCTTGGCCATGCAGGGTCCAGATGTTGTACAGTTCCAACACGTTCACGAAAATCCAAAACTCCGGAGGTCTGGAATCTAAGATTTCTTGCTTACAGTGTCGTCAATGTTCGGATTAGATTGATCTATGTATTGCTTTGGTCCAGGGTGGCCAAATGGCATAGAAAATAAAGTTAAAGCTTGTCTCTTGAACTCTCCATTCATGGCTTCGGCTTGTTCCATTCCAGGTACCTGCTGTGGGGAGAGCTGCTGTTTTGGGACAAGTTACAGCAGGCGGTACCACCTCCAGGCGCCAGAGGGGGGGAAGGGGGTGGGGAGGAGGGACGAGAACATCACGATGATGACGACGTATCAGACGATGAAGAGCATCTTGACATTTTTGTACCACGCTAAGGAAATAATTTGACCAGGAGTTTTTTATTAGTCAGTTTATGAATAGTGAATAATGAATGACGATATTTGTTGCACATTTTTGCCACACTTGGCTAATTCAAAGTCACAACAAAACAAGATGAACAGATACAGTTAACTGATACAAAAGTAACTAACTATCGTTATATAAATCTAACTTCTCCTCGTTTTTCAGTTATTGTAGAAATAAAAGAACAGCTATGTTTTTCGATGGATGGTTTGTCTAGTTGCATTAGGAATATGAATTTTATACAGTGCTTGAGGGTATGAAATAGGGAAATAAGTTTTGTACAAACCTATACAGTTCATTTCTGTCTTTGCTATAAAGTCCATATTCTATTACAAAATGGTGTTCGTCGTATATGCTATGATTGGACGTCCAGTCTATCTTCAGTGATTTGTACTGAAATTTTTAAAAAATCTACTGAATATGTGTGACTATTCATTATACACTGCCTCCACATAAGAGGTTGAACCCCCAGTAATGCTGAGGTCACATTTGTAACCCGACCCGGCCTACTACTTCTCTGTTTACTGCCACTCAAACGCTTCAGTATAGAGGAAGAAGAACTATATAAATATATATATATATAGGGGTTAAAATCATCTTTATTCCATACAAGATGAATGACATATTAAATACATAGCTAAAAACCTAGGACAATCCTTTGTCTCATGTTTAGGTAACAAGAGGAGGACGCAAGGTGGACAGACAAAAATACAATATACTAGTCACTGTGTGCATCGGACATACAGACGTTCTCTATTAGAAATTGCCATATATAATTATAATTACGGGTACATTATATAACAATTACAATTTAGAGTTCTTAAAAAGACAGCAGCTAAATTTTACATCTAATTTTTACAGTAGAACAATCCTGAAGTGCATTCCCAAGCAGGCGTGTTTCTGGCACAATAGATTGCATAAGATGCACAAAGTGCGCACTTGCCAAGTCTACTTTTAAGATGTCTAACTTCACGGTCTTTGTGACTGACCGGACAGAGTGACTTCATTGCACGACGATGGAAAGTATCATCCTAATAACTAAACATCAGGTATACCTATATATATATATTTATATATATTTATATATATATATATTTATATTATAACGTTCATATATATATATATATATATAT